GACAAGGGAAATGGTATGCCAAAAGGAGAATGAAACTATATGGAGCCGTAAAATGCCTTGGGCTCCCCTTCTAAAGTTTTTGTTGTTGTTCTGTTGGCAAGTATACTCACAAAATATTTAAATATCTCTCTGCTAGCCACTAAGTTTGATAACTTGTGTAAATTTTTCATAAGGGTGTGTGATTGCCATTTGCAACTGGTGATTACAATAAAAATTGCCTTTTATTCATTAAAAGCAAAACAAAACCTGTGAGATTTTTATCTCACAGATAGAAGACACAGGCTCAGAGAGATGAAGAGTCCTATTAAAAGATCACAGGGTAATAAATGAAAGAGATGGGATTTGGACCCCACTTTGTTGGCTTTGGGAATCTCCTGCTGACACTGCTGTTGTAAACTCAGATGAACTGTACAGGCTCCTTTATGTAAACAGTCTGATTTTCAGGTTCCAAAGAACTTTTCATAGGTGACTTAAGTTGCCATGTGAAAATTCAGTTTTTTGTAACTGATGTCTAAACACCACCACTGGACTACATGAAGACCATGTACTTATGGGGAGTATGCAGAAATTACTAGCTTTATCATAAGCTCCCTGCCCAAGCACCAATAAGTCACTTAATCTAGAACAATTTGTATCATTGATCCTGCTCTTTGGGTGAGGAAAAGTACCTGACAGGTCTTAGAAGTCAAAGGCTTGGTTTGTAACAGACTCCTTAGGCTCTACTCCCTGAGATAATTCATTATGACTTTGCAATGTATATATTTTAAAAGCTCCCTGGATGACTCTAATGCTCACTATGTTTAAAAATCATTTAAGCTTGCCTTGGCTAAAATGGGAATTTTGAGGTCTACTTTTCCTGTGAAATAAAATCCTGACTAAAGGCTTCTTGTTAGAAAATGCACACAATGCAAGTACTTCTCGTCAGTTACAGTTAGCGTCAAAACAACAAAACCATCCTTAAAGAACATGATCCTGGGTTAGCCTGGAGCTAAGAAACTGTCTTAAGCAAGACTGTTCTTTGCTCTGGCCTGATGGCTCAGTTAGTTGGAGCTTCGTCCCATACACCAGAAGGCTGTGGGTTTGATCCCCAGTCAGTGCACATAAGGGAGGCAACCAACCAATGTTCCTCTCTCTAAAATCAATAAATGTATCTTTGGGTGAGGATTTTTTTAAAGTTAAAAAAACTGTTCTTAACATCACTACTAGAAAAACTATAAATGAAGTCATATATCTCATTTTTAGATATCCCTCATAACGTTGCAACCTCATCCTTCCTTAAAAAAAAAAAAGAGAGATTATACTGACATTTTTTCACTTCAAACTTGGAATAATCTATATGAGCAATGACTTACACATTTCTTTGCTTTAATCAAGAAAACATGTTATGATGAAAAAATCCAAAGTCTATTCATGCCTAAGCTGCTGGTCACTGAAGTAGGATGACAAGGCATACACTGTCACAGACCTTGGTCCTGGCAGCCCACAACCCCCTCTGGCTAGCCTTCAGGAAGAACAAATGACCTCCACAGGAGAAAGACTGACCTGTTTAAGCTGCTCATCCTGATTCCAGCCTGGCTGCCCAGCTGTGGAGACTGTAGGTGGGGCTTTGGTAGCATCTTTGGTATGGTCTTCTTGGGCTTGCTGTCCATGTGGTGGGAGCCCTGGTGCTGGAAGAAGACCAGATATGGGTGCTGCTCTAGGGTCTTGGCAAGCCACTTTCTGCCCTTGTGAATATTTTGAAGCAGCCTGGGCCTCTTTCTCAGCCACTTCTGCAATGTCATCATCCCCATCGTCATCTTCCAAGCCTCCCTCCTCTTCCTCAGGCTCTGAGTTTGCGCTGTTCCCTTCAAAAACTCGGGTCACTGCTGTGGCTGGAGGAACTCTGACTAAGGGACCCAGGGAAGAGCTACCAGAAGGCCGCCCAGGTGTGGCAGAAAGCAGAGTTTGTGTGACCAGCTTCTGGGCATACAAGAACTGGGCTTCTCTCATCTGCTGTCCTTGCTTCTCTCTGGCATCCATCCCCAGAGGAGCTAGGTTTGGTGGCTGTGGTGGTCCCGGCTGCGCTGCTTGTTGTTGCAGTGGCTCCATCACGGCCTCCAGCTTCACCCTCCAATTGGCATGGCTCTGAACCCAGGCACAGCCCAGGAGGCACACTGGGTCTAAACCTAAGTGATTAATCAAAACCACAAAGGAGAAAAAAAAAGGGGAAAAAAAAACACACACTTCTGTAAAACAGGTATAAGAAGGCTTTCTTTTCTCCAGTAAAGGGTATGAGTTCTAAACACTAAACGTATGTTCCTAAACCTGAATTTTAAGATGAGTGAGTGGTAGAAATTTCAGGGATGAGTAAGGTAGGGAAGCATGTGAAGAAGAAGAACAGGATTTAAGAGGGGAATATGGGATGAATCTTAGTAGTGATGGACTACTGTAGGTATAAAAAGAAGTAAATCCAGGCAGTATCTAGTATATAAACATCTGTGTTCTGATCTCTCTCCCTCAATATACCAAACATTAATGTGTTTATTACTGGAAAGGCAGCTAGGTTTGCATTGTACAAAGGTTGTAAATATGAAAACTACAATAATAAAGAAAAAGAAGAGCTTTCCTACAGGACAGAAAATATTGCTTATGTTCTCAGGAACATCAGAGAAAGAATTTATCATCCAAACTAGACACAGAACTATCAGGCAGACAGAATGATTTCTTTCATAGACAAGAATTTAGCAAACTGCTCTTAAGTCTAAACTTTTCAAATTTTCCAGATCAAACTGCCAGCCTGCTTTTCAGGTGGGCTGGGCCATGCCAACAGGACATTATAGCCTAAAAAGAATCCAATTTCAACAACATGAAAGAATGTATGCCCCCCCTCCAATCCAGCAAGGAGGCAAGAGTTTCAAATTGCAATGGTCACTCAAAAACAAACAGGGGGGTATGCCTCTGGAGATTTGCAAGTTAATTAATTTGAAATAGATCTCAGCATTCTCTAAACAGCAAGTTAATGCTTTTTTTATACACAGCCAAGTAAACTCTTCCCATCCCCTTTCTTTCTGATTCATTTCTACTATATTCTATGGCGAATACAAAAAGAAAAGGCTTTCAGGCCAAAAATATTCCGGGGGCTGGTTTATCTGCATTCTTACCAATCAGTCTCCAAATACACACCCCTTTCACATGCTCTCCTCCTCTTACTCCCCCTTCCCTTCCTCCTCTCCAAACCCTACCCCCAACAAGCGTCCCTTGAGTTATGATGCCTCAGCAAGGCTTCATAACTGAATGGGGCTTACTACTATGCCTGGGCAAATTTTAAGTGAACAGGGCTTGCAATATGACATACAATGTTTTCATCACATGAAAAGAGAACGCACTGCACAGGCTGGGACTTGATATTTGCATTGTTCTGTTGTTTTAGGATTGGGTGGAAAGGTTAAAAAAAACAAAATACCTTTAGCATCTTCAAAAATTCATGGGGAAATAATCACACCCCTAGCAATAAAAACTGCTTTGATGTATAAATATTTTAATGGGTTAGGAAAAAAGGATCTAATTTTTTAAAGCTAGGCAAAAAGAAATTCTAATTTCTGTTTGTTTTAGAAGCACTGCTTTTACTTTTTATATTCTGACAAAGATTCAAATTCCAATTTGCCTCCTACTACTTTTAATTCTTCGCTTAGCACTTTACAGAGTGTGTTATGCCTGTACCATACTTTCATTCTGCTTTAGCCCTTTTTATAGTGTAACAAAGCAGGAAAAGATTTACACCCACATTAAATCCTGTTAGCAAAAGTGTTCATTTAAAATAAAAACAATTTGCATCAAAGAAAACTAAAGAATAAAGCAAATTATTCGTTGGCCATTTTAATTTTCCTTATAACCATTACAGTCAATCAAGAGCAAGACATTTTTCAACCAAGTCCTACCAGTCATTGAACTGCTTCTTGTGGCACCATCTATGCTGTGCCCAGCAGAGGATGTGTCTCACAGCATCTTTAGTAAGGCTGAAATGACTCAGTTCTACAACTCAATACACACACCCTACCCCCAAAAGCCCATCTTCCCCGGTCCCTAATCAGCCAGTCGATCCAAACAACAATACCACCTGCTTACATATAAAAAACTCGTCTCAGAACTCTAAGCCACTTCATCTCTTCACACAGTCCCCTCCCCCATTTTCCCTAAAGTTCCCGGACCACCAAGTGCGGAGCAACGGACTGTTTGCAGCTTTGAACGAAGTCTCGCTCACCACTTCCAGTACCTTCGCTGCGGGATCTCTCTAGCCCCGGCCTCCTTCGAGCCCCATACCTCCCTCCTAGATTACTCCCCTCCACACACACTTTTTATACCCCCCAATCCAGTCCGATTACTTTTACCTCTACCCAGCCTTCCCAGCCAATCCACTGGCTCTTCTCTGATCGCTCAACCCCACCTATCTCGCCTCCTCAATTCCCGAGGGATGGGGGTAGAGCCTTACTCGGCCCATCCATCCCTTTATCTCCAATCACCTTAATGGGCGCAAAGCGTCTCCGGTCTCCCCCGAGCGCCCTGACTTTTCCCCTACGGCCCCCGGTCTCCGCCGGCCAGCGCCTCCATGACCATCCTTGCACACCTGCCCCTCCATCTCCTCCACCTGCTACAGCCCCTGCTCCCGCCGCGGCTGGGGAAGCCGGGCCCGCACGGCTTACCTGTACCAGGAGCTCCAGGTCCGCGGGCGGTGAAAGAGGTAGCAGCTCAGACCCCCGGACCACCGCTGCTTCTTCGACTAGTCCGCAGCCTGAGGCCACAGCCGGGGCGGGGCCCGCACCGGAAGCGGCGCCGCGGGGCCCGCCCGTCGGCCCTGGGTGGGGAGGGGGCGGGGCCGCTGGGGATGGGGCGCGGCCTGAAGCCGGAAGCGGCCAAAATGGGATCGCGGGGCGGGGTCGGGCGGAAGTGACTTCTAGGGACGGCCCCGCCCAATTAAGTCGTGAGCGGAAGCGAGTCGAAGCTGGCGGAAGCTTCCGCCTGTGGGAAAGTACAGACCCAGAGGAGATCCGGTATGAGCACTTCCGCGAAGAGTTGAAAAGAGCTGGTGTCCCTGCAGTTTGTTCGGCGTATTTTCTGGTTTCGGAGGTTTGTGTGGCGCGGCCGGCAGGTTGTGAGGAAGGTAAATAAAGGAAAAGGAGTGTTCGGGGTTTTCTGTTGCTTTGGTTCCCTTCCCAACCTTAAATCTCAGGCCACTGTTCCTCAGATTCCCGCTTTCACATCAGCTTTTCTCTAAACTCCATTCCTTCCTGGCTTGAGACCTGGCTGTTTTTTAAGGCTTCCATTGGGACCCCTCCCCTCATATGGATTAGTATTCTCACTTCCCAGGCTCCAAAGGTAGGGAACCATGTGCTGAATACTGTCACCTCATAAAAACCGTTGCTTGACCGACGCTTACTCTCAAGACTCTCCAACCATTTAACCGTCTCTGTAAAGAGCATCTGCTTATTCGTGCATCCAGGCCCTTGCCTTACTTTCCTGTCTCCCTTCTCGATAATTTCATAGTCAATGTGGTCAACCCAGTTAACAGTCATGCGTCTTTTCTAGCGACCCTCGTATTAGCCCCCCTATCCCAGTCGGAAACCTAATCTTATCATCAGAAACGCTAGCACGGCAGGAATCGGTAATTAAAACATCCCTCTGCCCAACTACAACCCTATATCCTTTCAGCTTGACTGCTCAAGAACTTCCCCAAACTGTTTTCCCTCTCTTTATCAGGACCTCCAATCTGTTGAAAGCCTATACTTAATCCTTAGGGGACCTGGCCCGCAGACCAGGCTGTGCCCTGACCGGGAGTAGAACTGATGACCTTTCGCTTTTGGGAAGATGCCCAGATCCACGGAACCACACCAGTCAGGGCCTGCCCTTGCATACCCTTAAGCCTACCCATCACTCCTTTTTCCCCAACTAAGTCCTCTACCCTGAATGGACAAACATGCTTCTCCATGCCTGTGCCTTGTCATAGAAATATGTCCTGCTTAACAGACTGGCACCACTAGGTTAATAATTTCAGCCTTAAATGGACTGAACAGTACCTGGAAATTTCATTATATTTTTCTAGTTAACTTGCTTTCCAATATCTGCAGATCTCTAACCCAACATTTACTGGACCCCTTCCCCTGATTATCTTACTGTACATGTAACAGAAAATGTAGAGTGCCCTAAAATCTGCAAATCTACAGGTATTCCATTCCTGTCCATTCTTCCTATACTTTATTCAATCAAAAATGTTCATTGAGCCCTAGCTGGTGTAGCTCAGTGGATTGAGTGCTGGCCTGCAAACCAAAGGGTTGCTGGTTCAATTCCCAGTCAGGGCACATGCCCAGGTTGCAGGCCAGGTCCCCAGTTGGGGGCGAGTGAGAAGCAACCACACATTGGTGTTCTCTTCCTCTTTTTCTCCCTCCCCTTCCCTCTCTCTAAAAATAAATAAATAAAATCTTTTAAAAAATGTTCATTGAACTCCTGCTATATGTCAGGCAAGGCACTCATGTAGGTACTTGTTGAGCGTTAAAAAAAATTACGTGTTCTAAAGGATCTTTCTAGTGTAGGGAGACAGAGAAACAAATATATATATCTGCTATGGAGGGATGTGTGCTATGAAGAACAAAGCAGGGTAAGGTTTAGACATTGGTGTCAGGTAGCTGGTATTTTACATGTTGGTCAGAGGTGGACTCATCATTAAGGGACGTTTAAGCAGAGACTGGAATTGACTTGATGGGAGTAAGCCATGTCGATATTTAGGGAAATAGTGTTGCAGACAGAGGCAACAGCAAATCCAAGTATTTTGAGGCAGGAATAAGCTTGACATGGTATAGGAATAGCAAGGAGACCACTAGAGTTGATAGAGAGTAATGGGTAGAGTGGCAGGAGATGGCATTGCAGGGGTATCCAGGGGCTCAATCATGCAGGGCCTTGTAGGCCATGATGATATCTTTGGATTGTTACCATGGAAATCAGTGGAGAGTTTTGAGCAGAAGAGGAACTTGATCCAATTTGTCTCTAAAAGAATAATGCTACCAACTGTGTGGAGAATAGACTATAAAAGGTGGGGCATAAGAGTGGAAACACTGGTCGTGGGAGAAGATGATGCTGACCTGAGCTAGATGACAACAGTGGGATGATAAGAAATGGTCAAGTTCCAGGTGTATTTTGAAAGTAAAGCCACCAGAGTTTGCTAATAGATTGGATGTACAAGTTAAAGAAGAGTCAAGGATGATGCCAAGTGATTTGGCCTAAGTAACTGGTTAGAATAGTGATACGATTTACTGACCTGGAGAATACTATCAGAAACTGACCCCAGTGGAATACTACTCAGCAATAAAAATGAATAAAGTATTGATACAGCCAACAACTTGGGGTTACAACAACAGGCATTGTACTGAGTGAAAGAAGCTAGTCTCAAAATGACACTCTGGAAAAGACTGAAACCATAATGATGGAGAATAAGTTAGTTGTTGCCGGGTGGAAGAGGGACTATAAAGGTGTAGTAGAATAGGGTTTGGGGTGATGAAACTCTTCCGTATCCTGTTGTGGTGGCAGTTACATGAATTTGTGTTAAAATCAATAAAACTATACAACAAAAATACCATCAATTTTATTGCATGATAATGTTTCGGGGGTTTTTTAGCCAAATTTCCATGTGCTGAGGTTTCCCTTTCCAGTTCTTATGGCTTTTCCTTTAACCTTGTGCAATATTAGTTCTTTCCATTAGTATTCAAACAACCTCTAGTTTCAACCATCTTTTGCTTAAAAAAATAAATAAAACATCTGTCCCTTGACCCCATATTCTGTGTCTAAAGCCTGATCTCACTATTCTTCCTAGTAAAGCTTCTAGAATTACTGGCCTCACTGCAGCTCCCTCCTAAAACACTCTGTCTTCCCATTGCTCTTGTGATAGAGACCTAAATTTCTTCACATTTCCTACAGAGCCCAAGCATTTGCCTACCTCTTTGGTTTTGTCTTTGTCTTGGCATTAATAAAGTACCCGAGAGAGCAGCCTTACTAGATGACCTCAGTAGTTAAGTCAGAAGAGGCCCTACCTCTTTGATAGAAATACCATAAATATACACTCATTCTGGTTTCAAAGAATATCATTTAATCTTTCTACTTTGGCATCCAAAGTATGATAGATTAAAAGAATAGCCACAGTATAGCAAGTCCTTAAATAATATTTCATTATAACATAGATGAGATGCTATGGTAACTTAACTCTTATTTATATCAATTAGCTTATGGTAAAATTGGTTTTGCTATACATCATTTTACTTAAAGGCACAAAACCTATTAACAATGTTAAGTGTGAACTTACTTTTTTTTTTTTTCAGCTTCTTCCATCAAGAGGTCAAGTCTATTTCTCCATTCCCTGAGTCTAGGCTTGGCCATGTGACTTAACTTGTTCTATGAGACATTAGCAAATCTGATACAAGGAGAGTCTTAAAATGTGCTTACAATTGTGACTTGCTCTCTCCTGCTGCTGGGTACTCTTCCACCACCTTGTGAAAAAGTCCTGCTGACCTGATGGATGATGAGAGACATGTGGTCATCCTCCCAACTGACTGACTAGTGACCAGATATGAGTGTGGCCCCTTATGTCAGCTAGCCTGCCAACCACCAGGGAGTGAGCCAGGCCACTATAGATCATTTAGGCTCAGTTACACTGGCCCATTCCAGTAGAATGCCCTCCAGAGAACCCACAGACCAGTGAAAAATGTTTGTTTTAAAGTTAAACCAGTAAGTTTTGAGATGATTTGTTTTGTAGTCAAAAATAACTGGTACTCAAGACATTTCTTTGTATCTGTTGGACTGGATTTGTTGGGGTGTACTTCTTGGAGTCACTGAGTACCTAAAGAAGAGCACCACCGTGCATCATGGTCATATAGGTGGCATGTGTTACCTTAAGTTCTCCCACCAAATTTCTCATAATTTTGCTTATTTATAACAGGAATAGTCTTACACATCATGTCTGTTGCATTTCAACTTGTTCAGTAAAAGTAATATCATTTGCATGGTTTTCATTAATTGCTTTTAAAAAATAAAGGTTGAATTGTATAAATATTGGATAACGTTTGTATGTGTGTTGTTACAAATTTTATCCTAAACGTACAGGGCATAGAAGCTAAGAAACAACATGAAAATGGCCATATTATAGAATAATGATGTGATTAGTCATAACTAATGAAGGGAAAATGCCTTAAGTTTGTGTTTATGATAGCCAGTGTTAATTATTGATTTAATTGTGCCAATCTTAATGAGATTTGGTGTTTAGCTCGAGTGGGTATCAATTTTATGACGCCAAGAACATACAATATATTTGTCTATTGAATTATATTTTCAACTTGCATTGTCCCCACAAGAGATTTTCCAGGATTGATTATCCTAAGGACTGTCCTACAGTTACTGTACCTTTTACTGTCATGGCAAGTTAAAATGTTAACCTGTTGAGTAAGATGTCTTCTTGTCCCGAGATCAAGGTATGGCCTCAGGGAGGCTCTATTAGCTGTGTAAAGCCTCTGCTGAGCAAATAGTATTAACGTTGTAAAGAAAGAATGTGACAGTCTCCCGGGGAGCCTGAAACGGTGTGTGTCAAGTCTATACCTTCCTGAGGGGGCCTCTTTCAGTGTCCATTGTGTTTTTCCAGATGGGGTAAGGGAGGGGAGATAGGCCCATCAGACAGACCCCTGGGTCCTTTCTTTCACAAAACTGTTCTTATTTTGACTCAGACAATTGGTATTTGGTGTCTGGCATCCTGAGTTACATTATGTGTCAGCCCCCACAAACCTGTCACCTCTGGAGATCTGCCAGTACTGAATTACTGATGCCCAAAGCTGAGCTTTGAGAAGGTCTTCTACGGAATGAGACCTCTTGGCAGTGGGCAGCCAGGATTCCTTTGCAGGTAGCTGCTCTCACTGCAAAGGTCCTTTCCAATGCTGAATATTCTGAAAACTGCCTTAATTATATTACTCTTTTCCTCACCTGGGAATAGAAGAGGTCAGACCTCTAAGGCAAGTAAAAAGGTCAATCTCAAAGGGACTTCCCTTTGAGAACATTGGGTTGTTTCACTCTCCTTGGTACTTTGCAACGTTCCACCCAGATTTCTGTGGTGGCCCCAGCACTCAGCTGTCCCACAGACTGCCAGGGCAAGAGAGAGCAGGAGGCAGTGCAAACCGTCTGTCCTAGAACGAGACATCTACCTGTGTGTAGGTCTGTACCTCTGGTTGGCTCTGAGAGCCATCTCGCCTCCCATCTGAGAGAGCTGTCATAAACCAGACTTACAAGTGCTGTTGAGACTAAGGAGAGGGTGCCTAACCTGAAGTATGCCTGGCAGTGAGCCTGGTTAGCTAGAAGAATGGCAGGGCCAACCAATTGCTGTGAATGTGTCCATAGACACTTATGCATGGCCAGGGGCTTTGCATCCATCAAGAACCTTTACTTCCAAGCACCAGCGCTGAATGTTGAGTTATCAATGACAGTAATATGCATTTTCTATTGTTAAGGTTGTCCTCTCTGAGTTTAAAAAAACAAACAAACTGTCAATTTTAAAAGTACAAAAGTTACGGAGGCTACCAGGTGAGTATTTTGGTAACATTCAGAGAATGCAAGATGTCCTGGGGGGAAAGAAGCTGCCTAAATATAGGGTTGGTGTGCTTGCTTTTGTTAGGGTTGAGGTGTTTGGGCCCCTGGCTCAGGATGTCTTTACTGCCCTCACACAGCTATATTCCTATTGCAAGTTTAATGCTAAACTAAACATATATATAATGGGGGTTCCTGATATTAAGGTGAAATATATTCAGTGTCAGAGGTGTTAAAAAGGTTATTTATACCCCAGGCCCTCATGCACTACTTTATAGCAAGAGAATATGTTGAATGCTTTGATTCAAACCAATCTTTTTTTTTTTTTAATTCTCACCCAAGGGTATGTTTTTATTGATTTTAGAGGGAGAAAGAGAAAAAAAATATCAATGTAAGAGAGAAACATTGATTGGTTGCCTCCTGTATATGCCCTGCCTAGGAATAGAACCCACAACCTTTGGTGAATAGGACCAAAACAGTCACCTGGCCAGGGCAGTTCAAACCAATCTTAACACATTGTTTTCTGTTTGTTTGTTTGTTTTTATCCTCACTGGAGGACATATCTGTTGATTTTTAGATAGAAGGAAAGGGATGGGGAGAGAAAGGGAGAGAAACATCTATGTGAGCGAGAAACATGGATCAGTTGCCTCTTGCATGCATGGAACCTGCAATCTGGGCATGTGTCCTGATTGGGAATTGAACCCACAGCATTTTGGTTTATGGGGCAACTCTCCAACCAACTGAGCCATACCAGCCAAAGCTTACCACATGTTCTTAACCCTGCTGTAATTTTAGGGATTAATACATAACCTCATTTGGAAATCTGATTCAGGAACTTCATTATTAAAAACATAGCTGGGTATTTTCAGTCTCTCCAATTAAAGTGAACATTTGGTTTTAGAGTGCTTGTAACTACCCTGAGACTATGTTGGAAGAGAATAGAGTGGTTATAAAACTAAGTGATCTAGCCTTGGCTGTTGTGGCTCATTGGATTGAGTGCCGGCTTGTGAACCAATCCGTTGCCAGTTTGATTCCCAATCAGGGCACATGCCTGGGTTGTGAGCTAGGCCCTCAGTCGGGGGTGCTGGACACACAAACACACATTGATGTTTCTCTCCCTATCTTTCCCCCTCCATTCCCCTTTCTCTAAAAATAAATGCATAAAATCTTTTTTTAAAAAGCTAACTGATCTAATAATCTCCTCCTGACCAATTCCATTCCATGCTTCTTCCCCCTATCCCTCTCATGCTCACCCCCGCCACCACCGCCACCCCAAGAAAAGGGCAAAATGCTGAGCTTATTCTGGTCGTCAAGCAATCACTTATTTCCTAATATGGACAGTTCAGCCCTCCAGTTTTGCTACTGGAATTCAAGGGCTAGGAGAATGGCATTTATATTTGTATATGTTTTCTACAACTCTCTCACTCTACCTAAAGTCCATGAAGCCTCTGTGTTGTTTGCTTTAACACTGATTATGGCATGTGCAGTTACTGAATTTCCTGTATCTACAATATAGGATCAGCTCTGACCCAGTACAACCTAACTCTAATTTAATAGTTTGGTACAAAATTAAAATGAATTAGTCACAAAATTGTAGGGCTCTCTTCTTACTAAAAATGAACAGCTACCCAAAGAAAAATGGTTATATTCATTACAAGAGAATGAAGTCAATACATTTCTATCAACATGGGAAGATGTCAATGGTAGGATTTAAAGATTTTATTTACTTATTTTTAGAGAGAGAGGAAGGGAGGGAGAAAGGGAGAGAAACATCTATTGATTGCCTCTCACTTTAATGGATTTGATCCCTGGTCAGGGTATGTACAAGAATCAACAAATGAATGCATAAATAACTGGAACAACAAATTGATGTCTCTTTCTCCCCCCCCCCCCAATAAATAGATACCTAAATAAATCGGTTTTTAAATATATTTATTTTAGGTAGAGGGGAAGGGAAGGAGAAAGAGAGTGAGAGAAACATCAGTGTGTGGTTGTCCCTCAAGGGCCCCCTATTGGGGACATGGCCCTCAACCCAGGTTTGTGCCCTGACTGGGAATTGAACCAGTGACCCTTTGGTTCACAGGCCAGCACTCAATCCACTGAGCCACACCAGGCACAGCTAAGGTAATTATTCTTGAGCTAGGTAAAGTATTGCCTCCCATGTAGAAGTCTTGCTGTCCTTAACCCTCTCAATCACCTAGAAAAGTGGAGAGAATGAAAGAAATAAAGTCGTCCCTCACTATATCTCTGCTCACTTACTGCAGCTTCACAGTGAAGCCACAATAAATGAACTTTGATATAAGGAGGGACGACTGTATACTTCACTGGTGAGTACCCGTATAGAATTTTATATGTTGTCAAAATTATGTAGGTTTAAGAGTGTAGAAAGTGTTTAAGAACATATGAAGTGCTTATAAGAGTGTGGGAAAGGCTAATAAGAGAGTGGGAAGGGTTTATAGGAGTGTGGGAAGGGTTTATAAAGTCTTAAAATATATATAAATAATAAAATAAATATAATGCCGCTACTTTGCGGATTTTCACCTATCGCGGAGGTCTCTGGAACATAACTCCCGAGATAGGTGAGGGGTCACTGCATTAAAACTTAAATAAGCTAAATCATCAGACACACTTGAGCTCTGTGGCCTTAAGTATTATCCTTGGCTCTTAAAACTTTGTGTTCTTCCCATTCAGGAACTCATAGGTTGTCTCCTTATGAGTTGATCACTGGCAGGCAGGCCCGCAAAGACTAGGATTCTCTCCACCTATACTTGATTCTAACCTCTTATAGGCAGAGTTGACTAAATGATGTAAAGGGTTAACTCAGTCTTATCACTAACTGGCACAGGCTGATTTTCCTTGCCAACTACTTAACTGGCTTCTAAATTACCCTAGATCAGATGATTGTGTATTTAGGCAATATCAGAGAAACTTAGACCTTATTAAAAAGAAAGAGAAAAAAAAAGACCTAATTATAGCAGTCAGACTCCAAAGGACCAATCTATAGATTCACACTACTCAGCTAAAGTGACAATAGAAATGAGACAATTGTCCTTACTGGAAATTTTAAACCTAGGTTACTAGAGAGTTGCCCCAAAGCAGTGATCCTTAGAAGTTGCTACCAAACATAAGAACCTCTGCACAAGCTGATGACAGTATGAAGTAGAAAAAGCCTCTACCCAAGAGCCACTGACTCTTTTCATGCATTTGTTCTTTGTTCTTTATCCTGCTGGCCACAATTTTCCACTCCATGTGTTTAGGTTTACATGAAGTTATTTTGTAATAACTTCAGACTTATGGAAAAGTTGCAAAATTAGTACAAAGAATTCATATGCCATCTTCCAGACTACACAAATGTTACCATTTTACCACATTTGCTCTAACATTCTTTATCTCTCTGTATCCATATTATATTTATTCTCTCAAGTAACCATTTGAGAGTAATTTGCAGACACAATGTCCCATCATGCCAAAATATTTTAGTGTGTATTTC